ACTTTGCCAACAAAGGTCCATCTAGTCAAGGCTATGATTTTTCCAGTGGTCATGTATGGATGTGAGAGTTTGACTGTGAAGAAAGCTGAGCACCGAAAAATTGATGCTTCTGAACTGTGGTGTTGGAGAAGACTCTTGAGAGTCCCTTGGACTGCAAGGAGATCCAACTAGTCCATCCTAAAGGAGATCAGTCCTGGGTGTTCATTCGAAGGACTGATGCTGAAGCTGAAATTCCAATACTTTGGCCACCTGATGCGAAGAGTTGACTTAGTGGAAAAGACCCTGATGCTGGGAGGGATTGGGGGCAGGAGGAGAAGGGAACGACAGAGGATGAGATAGTTGGATGGCATCACCGACTCGATGGACATGAGTTTGGGTAGACTCCGGGAGTTGGTGATGGGCAGAGAGCCCCGGCGTGCTGCGATTCATGGGGTCACAGAGAGTCGGACACGACTGAGCAACTGAACTGAACTGAATGTTAATCTCATCCAGTAAGATTCTCAGAGACAGACCCTGAATGTTTTACCAAGTACAGTGTCTGGGCACCCAGTGGCCCAGTGGAGTGGACACATAAATTAGCCATCATAGGCCTAAATGTACTTCAAATCTATTTTTTACACTTCGCCTTCTTGAAAAGCCTCAGTTCACATGGATATTAGAATCGTCTATTGATTCTCAGTTGATTCATTTAAAATTGCCGTCTGGGAGGAAGTATTTTCCTCTACCCTTTTAGTTTCTTTTGGCTGGTCTAAAATTAACATGAAACGAATTAACAGAAAATCAGAAGTTTAATAACATGTATGCATGGTGGAGACCAGGGAAAACTGAGTTGCCAAAATGGTGGAAGCTCTCACTTTAAATACTATCTTCAGCTAAAGACAAAAGAGAAGGAATATGAGGGGTAGTGGTTTGGGATTTCAAAGGGGAGGAAGGGGCAGTTCCTTTGGAGGCAGAAGAGCAAATGTTTGGTAAATGTTTTCTGGGCCTTGCAGTGACAATGGGATACCTAGAGGAATTTTAGCAAGCAGATTTTGCTGAGTTCCTCCCTATCTACGCATCTGGTTCATACTACTGTTATATATGGTAGTAGCTCCTTCTGAATATTCAGACCCCCTGTAAATTCTTCAGGCAGCAAAGGGGGAAGATCAGAATCTTTTGCCCTTGACTGTTTCCAACTGGAAAAAATTAACACACCAAAGAGACCTTTGGGGTCACAAATTTTGTTTCCTTATATTGCCATTTGGCCATAACTGAGTTAAAAGTGGATTGAATGGAGCGGTAGTTTCTTTATACTTTTGGTATATAATTGGTAGTATTTTCTTCTGGTTTAATTAAGTGATTGTTGTTTGTTGGTATACTTCATTCTCCTGTGGCCTTTCTGTCTTGCATGAAGTATTCTAATACACAGGCTTAGTCATTTTGACAAACCATCAGAGCCCTAGAGTGGCTAGTTGGCAGCAGGGATTAGTGATTCCCAGAGCACTTTGCAAAAGCCAGATTGATTGGCATGGAATTTTGTCAACAAGCTTCTTAGAGCATGTCAGAGAGCTGCTGGGGTGAAAGGGAGGTGGAATTGTTTATAGTATCAGCTCCTTACTTACCTTTTATATGACCTTGAACAGATCTCTTGACTTCATCTATGATGCTGTAGGGCTATTGGGAAGATTACATGAAATAAGAATGTGTGTGACTTACTCAGCTGTTTGCCTTATTACCTAGTTTTTGCTAACTGGCACAGCCTTACACAAATGGTGAATAATTGTTCCTATGGCTTATTTTGTTGATGTAGAATGGTGCTCTTCTAATTCACCGGATGTAGCTTGAGTTCACTTCTCGAGGAAAGAGTGACAGTATCATTTGACCTGTGTTTTTATCCATCATCCTACAGTTGACTGATTCTAAGGCAAGGTCTGTTTATTTAAGCCTGAGTTTAGCAAAACTCCATAAATTAAACCAAAGTAGATGGCTGGGCTAAATGAAATGTTTAAATTACAAGAAATTTGAAGAAATCTGGTGTGTCAATCAGAGATCCTAATTCAGGCTCCCTCCTTCAGTCTAGGTTACTTACTTAATTAGTGTTTATCCAGAATGATGTTTCATTGGTCAGAGCAAGCACAGTGGCCCTGCTTGCAGTGGACTCTGATGGTTATGCACTTTACACATTAGCAGATGATATGGGTAATCATTGATCTAATACACGGGAACTTGTTTTGACCTAGACTACACTTTTGGGTGGCAGGGGGTAGAGAAAAATGTATTTCACAAATATACTTTTTTTAAAAAAATCTTTAAAAACACTCTCCTCCCACCCATATTCCTGTTTTGGTAAATGGCTCTAATTTTTATATCTCTACATTTTAATGAATATGTAAGAAGAGTTATAAAATCCTCACCTCTTACTCTGAATTAAAGAGCTCTGAATTTCTAGCAGAAGCCTTGTTCCCCCTTTTGATGTGTTGTTCATTTTCTCTGGATCTGTTTTACCTGCATTTGATTGTATACCAGACTCCATTAAGATGTTCCTCGCCTGGGACAATTCTGTGTAAATGTTTTGTTTGTTTTTAATGTCCTTCTAAGAAGACAAGTTAGGAATGGTTTGGAATTAGCACATTGTAAACAGATTCTCCTTGATTTGCTCTCAAATATTTTCAGTATTCTTTCCTTATGCCAATCTACACTCTTGCATCATTAATTTGCTTCATAAGCAAACTAAAAATGTGTTTGTGGCTGAGATTTGATGAGGTTTTAGAGATTTTTATTCAATGTTATTCTCTGAGTAATTCAATGGAAAACATGAATTCAGCTAGACTGCTGTAGTTGCTTGTATTGTGGTTTTACTAGTGGGAAGTTTAGAAACAGGCTGGTTAGGCAAACCAAATGAGGGGCAGTACATGAGGCAATGATTGTAATTGTACAGGTGTGACCTCCTTGGCAGGTAATGGAAACCAAGAAATAGAACAGCAGGTGTCTGCTCAACTGCTTATCATACTCCATAGAAATTTTCCCAGGCCACACTCAGATAAGCGTGAGGATATTTTGCAGTATTAGTGTGTGTGTTGTGAACATAGTGCTCTATCTTGCTGGAAGTCAAAAGAGGATTTATAACTAGTTGGGGTTTTCATTTGAGAAGCCAGGTTTCCCTGCCCCCTGCTTTTATGTGGTGGCTTGTGGCTACTTGTATCTGTTTCCTTTTAATGTTTTCCTGGCCTGTGGCTAAGTAAGTTGTTTAAACAGATATATAACATTGACTTTTCCTATTATATAGAAGGTGTTCAGATAACTCATAAAGGAAAAGAAATCAATAATGCTCAGTTCAGTACTAGTATAAATGTTGATATTTTCTTCAGGGTAGATTGAGCAGAAGGAAGTGAATTCACATAAGAAACACCGGTTCTTTTTTTATGCTCACCATCCCCACCCCGGATAATTCTTTATTGGTGAATAAGGAAACTGGATGTCTCACTTCCTTTCAGCGTCCTTCAGGGATCTGCTGTTGTTTTTATTTGAGCCATTCTGTGAATTACATGATCAGACAGCAACATTGAAACACCTGGGTTAAAATACAATCTAAAATAAAGAAATATATATTTTTTATGGGTGTACTTCAATAATCAAAATTTTCTTTTGAATTCCTTTCCTGTACGAGAGATTGAGTAAACTGTGGAAGGTGTCTAGCTGACCTTGAGCACAGATTTCCTATCAAACTCATATACTTGCTTTACTAATTTTTAAAAAAAATTTTTTGCCTATCTTGAGTTACTTCTTAGGGGAGAAACACACAAACCTATACACAGATTTTTCTTTTTCAGTACCTACTTCTTGTTGTTATTAGAATAATATAAAATTATAGTTTGTTTATTTGATGTATAACATACACTGTCGATAATCATAATTGCTGGGGATATTTAAAATGGCAGTTCTATACATCTAAGTATGTTCTTCCACAAACCTATATTGAAAACAGGAAGAGGAAGAGGAACCCTGGTACTAAGATAAGGTGCCTTTCCTATAAATGCTTATCATAGTGACACCTGAACTGTGTCCTACTAAAAATGAAATGGCATCATATACTGGAGTGAGCCCTGGAGGAGACATAAATCCTCGCCCCATTTCTCAAGTAATTTGTCCCTGACTAGATAAGCAGCTTAAGTTCTTTGGATCTCAACTGAAAACTGAAGGTTTGGAGCTAAATATCAAAAGTTTGTTACAGATGGGTAATCACTGAAAACAACAAGGCATTATCTTCTGTCCACATGCCTGATGGCAGGTTTTTCAGTGACCCTTCAGTTAGGGAGCTGGGGGACAGAGCAATTTTAGATACACCCTCCTCTCAGGAGCTTTATGGTCCAGTGGAAGGAGACAGGCCCAGTGCTAAGGGTTTTTTCCATTAAGTTTTAATATTGGTAGAATACTTAGAAATATCATGACATCTGTTTAGTTTTTTTTTCTTTATTTTTTTTCCATTTATTTTATTAGTTGGAGGCTAATTACTTTACAATATTGTAGTGGTTTTCGCCATACATTGACATGAATCAGCCATGGATTTACATGTATTCCCCATCGAGATCCCCCCTCCCACCTCCCTCTCCACCTGATCCCTCTGGGTCTTCCCAGTGCACCAGCCCGGAGCACTTGTTTAATATATACACTCCAAGGGCTTCCCAGGTGGCGCTGTGGTAAAGAACCTGCCTACCAATCCAGGAGGCATAAGAGACCGAGCTTCAGTCCCTGGGGCAGGAAGATCCCCTGGAGAAGGGCATGGCAACCCACTCCGGTATTCTTGCCTGGAGAATCCCATGGATGGAGGAGCCTGGAGGACTGCAGTCCATGAGGTCACAAAGAGTTGGACATGACTGAAGCGACTTGGCATGCACGCACACTCACTCCAAATTAAACTCAATCCAGGGAGGAAGGCTTGTTCTAGACCTAATGATATGTGCCTTTTCTTTTGATTTTAGGAGCGTATTGAATGAAAAGTGCCAGAGACTGAAAAACCAAACATGAGGGTAGCAGGTAAGATACTTAATTCAGTAGGAATGATTTTGCTTCTTGTGTAACCTGTTTGTTTTGTAATGACTGAATGAGATTATAAAAAAATAATCATTTTCTATATTGAGTGCAACTGAATATAACAAACTAAATCATTATTTAGGCTTTTTACCTTTTCAGGTAGTTGGCAAATCGCAAATGGAACGTTTAGTGGATTCTGTAAAAGTTTGTTGGGGGTACTTTTGTTGAAATTATTTATGCTAAATATTTTAAGTTGGGTTTTTTAATGTTTATGTCCTTATACATTAAGCTTGTTTGCCTAGTTTTATGTATATGTATGTGTGTATGTGCACCCCAACACAGCCACTGACATTCACATTTTACATAGACATTTCCACTAAGTAGTGTGTGTCCATCCTAGGAGAGACCTTGTCATTTCTCAGAATCAAGATAGTCTTTCTTTTGATTATCATCTCATCAATAAACAAAATATTCTTACTGGAACATCTCTAAGAGTATGGGTCTAAAAGTACATTACTTAAGCCCAGAATAAAGGAAGTTTCTCTTTCTCATATAATTCTGCATTCTTTCTAGTTGAAATTAGCTTTGTCATCTAGTCCATTTTTCTGAATCTAACAAATAATACCAAGGTTAATTGATGCATAATTGTTCACTGAATGCTGATTTTATGTTTGGCATGCTTCCTAGTATTGGTCTCAAGGGGACTACCGTTAATGAAGGAATAGGAAGATTAGCTATTAGTTTATTGATTTTAGACTAATTAATCTCTTCTAATTAAAAAAGAAAAAGATCCTGGTGGCTTTGAAATATCCTTATAGCCATTATTCTTACAGTGAGACATTAGTAAATATCTCAAGTTTATGTTTCTTGGTTTATGAAAAGCAGGGACACTCTTGGACTAGAGCAATTCATGGCTGGAAGGAAGAGGGATTCTCATGGGTGGAGTGGGAACTGTGGTGTGCTGTGGGTAGGCCCTTCCAAGTCCAGAGGTGGACGGTGACCGCTCTGGAGGAGCCCCTCTGCAATAGAAGGTCCATAACTCTATCATCATGGAGGTGCTGCTGGTGTTGGCCTGCCTGCCTCTCTCAGGGGTCTTCTGCTTATTCTTTTACCAGTTAGTTTCTCCACCTCCAACTTCTCTGTCTCTTAGAGCTTTTGTTTTTTCCTAGCTCCCTTAATGGTTTCTTATAATTGAGTAGGTCTTGATTTAAAATTAAGTTCTGTCGCTAACTAGTTATGTGACCTTAGTAGGCAAGTGATCTAGATTTTTCACCTTGGTTTCCTTATTTGTAAAATGAAAGCAGTATCTTGAAAGGCTGTGCTAATGATATTGTGCTTATAAAGCATTTAGCTATGTAGTAGACCCTCAGTAAATGGTGTGTGTATGTATTATATTTATGTATGTATATATAAATATGATGTAGATAGTTTGTTTAACGTAGGCTTATGTTTAGTTTGGTATGGAATTTAGTCTGGAATGTTCATATATTGTGAACTTGGTGTTTTAATCGTTCTAATATTTCAGTTGTGAACAGCCAAGGTTTCATATATCTACTTTAAGGAAAGGGGAAAGATTATTTACACATGCCCCTGATGCTTAGAAAATGAGATGTTTAGACCATCACGTGACATATAATCTTCCAGCCCTTGGTCTTAAATGATCAGGAAGAAACATGCCACCTGTTAATCATGCATCTATTTAGCAAACATATGTTGAGCGTATTACATATGTTGAGAGTATGTTCAAGGCACTCTGCTAGACCCCATGAGGGAAGAGTTCAAAGCCCAGTGGAATTTTACTTCCTCACATAGATGACCTGTAGTCAGTCTTGAAAACAGGAGGCAGTTTTGGGAGGGGGAGAAGGTACAGCTTAGGAGGCAGGGATGGCAACTGATTAGTAGTTAGGCTTCCTCCTTGCCATCTCATTTCTATGTTTATGGAGCGTCATAAGCCTTTCTGATTACCATCAGTTTATTCACTTCCCTCCCCTGTAAGGATGCATTCCCAGTCATTTCAGATTTGTAAAATTAGAATGAACACAGCTCTTTTTTCCTCTTCCTCACCCATTAAGTTGAGTTTGGCTAGTTTCTCCGAAGAACGTGGTGCTTTGGTGTTAGTGACAAAGTGCTGGGCTGTGTCCGGACCCCGGGCTTCTGTTCTGGTGCTGCTGCTGAGAGAGCAGTAATCTTGGGCCTTTGCCTCGGTTGGGGACTTTGTTTCCTCAAGGATAGTGAGATGACTGCTGATCCTTCCCATCAGTGTATGAAATTTTTAGTAACCTGAGAGGGGAATGGAGATTATACAGACAAATATTAATATTGTTTCTGAGTAACCTAATGAGATGTCTCTGAAATTCTAAGAGTAAGAAGATGCTGTTTCTTTCCAGTCATTTTCGCTTCTGTTCCTTTCTCATACTTTCACTTGCCAAGATTTGCCTAGCTGTGGAGGAGAAAGACAAGTGATGATTCATATTAAGCAGTTAATTAGTTAGTAGCAGTGCTATTTGTAAGGCACTCAGAAATGGTTAAAGATAGGTATGGAAGGTTCAGAGTGTTCACAGAGCTTACCATGTAACCATTTTATGAAGCAAATGAGGTAGGTGCTGAATTAAGTTCTGCAGGAGTGGGGAAGGCATGCCTTAAACTTCGGTGTTAAGTGTGAGTGGAGATATTATTGTTCACCATGCCGGGAGTACTTGTGTGCCCCCTCGAGATGCGTGGGTTGGTGAGGACAGTGAATGCTTTACAGCTCACTTGAGAACTCCCTGCCGAGTGGGCATCCCGTCTGTCGCCTTCGTGTCTCCTGAAGGTTCAGTGTTTTTGCGTCGTCTGCGTCCAGCACTGCCCTTTATAATTGAAAAGCACTGGAAGTGAGTAATCCCACATACTTGGTATTGGTATTCCACTAGTCATGAAACTTTTGTGTAGTCAGTCAGAAGTTGATAGCAGGTCATTTTTTTTCACATGTGAAAATTAAGCAGATGACTTTAAACAGTCCTGTGTCTAGGTTGCTAGCCAATCTCTTACTTCCTTGATTAGCAAAGTCAATCACATTGACTGTTGGTACACTTTTTGTTGTAACTCAAGTAAAATTAAAATCCAATAATAAGTATTATTGGACATTTAATAGTCTTAGGAAGTTTTAACATATACTTATAGTTTTTCATGGTAATGTGTAATACAAAGTTCTGTGGGCTTCTAAGTTCATGTTTAGTTGTTTCTGCCCTCTATATAGGTGCTGCAAAGTTGGTGGTTGCTGTGGCAGTATTTTTACTGACATTCTATGTTATTTCTCAAGTATTCGAAATAAAAATGGATGCAAGTTTAGGAAATCTATTTGGTAAGTTTTTATTTTTTTCCCCCTTGAATTTCATTTGTGATGAGATTGTCTTTAAATTTTTATGAGTTATCAACATTGAGTCACTCTGCTGTTTAGTCTGTCTAGAAAAGAAAATGTAATTATATTGGTAAGTGCTATTCATTAGAATATTCTAAAATACACAATAGAAAATCATACAATTAATTTGATATAAAGCATGAATCTTCTATTCAACATTTTGAATGTATTTAATGGGGCCTATTTTGTGTGTGCCTAGGGGATGGGGGAGCCTGGCAGGCTGCCGTCTATGAGGTCGCACAGAGTTGGACACGACTGAAGTGACTTAGCAGCAGCAGCAGGGATATTAATCATGGCATTTTAAATGCACATTCTAGAAGATATTTGAATTGGCTGCTTAAAAACTTGGAGCCAATTCTAACCCTCAATTAGCAAGTGATTAGGAGTCATGATAAAACATTTTAAATATCAGCCATTGACATCCATCTTGCTTTTCCTACCCTTGTTTTCTTTCTGCAACATTTTTCTTTTTACCAGTTTATTTGATGCTGTGTTGTAAATGTCCCACTATAAGCTGCCTTACTTCAGTTTTAAACAAAATCTTTCAAGTTGATAAAATAAGTTAACATTTGAAATATTTGAATACGCTTTGGCTGAACACTGTTTAAAGTATTAAAAAATTACTAATGAAAGGTCAGGCTGTGAAGCAGAAACAGGGTTTTGACCTAGTAGGCAGAGATCAGATGAAACAGTCTTGAGCTCTCTGGAATAGTTGATGAGTTTTGCTTTCTATAAGTTAGTATTTGGAAGGGATCCCCAAGACCTAATACACTCTCTCTCACATCTAGTTTCAAGACTCCCTTAAACCACTGTTTTTCCAATTTTTTGATGTCAGAAAAATCTCTAGGGAATCTTGATAAATGCAGGTTCTGCTTCAGTGTCTGGGATGGGGCCTGAGAGTCTGCATTTCAAGCTCCCAGGTGATGGCTGACTTCCTATCCAGAGACCATGTACTGGGTGTTGGGCTTTAGACAGTCCTGACATATAGTCCTTAATTCCTGTACATATTTGTTTATATATATATTGGACTTTAGACGTTTCTGACATGTAGTCCTTAATTTCTGTACATATTTGTTTTTATACATTTTCAGGTGACTTTTCTTACAATGACTACTTAAAAGTGCTTCCTTGTATTGCACTGAATTCTACCTTTTATACTCCCAAGTAATTTCAGTCCATTGGTCTTCCTTCTACTTGTTGAATCTCTCACATAGTTAAGCTGTGGTCCTTCTCTACCAGGTCATCTTTGTCTAAGATTTTATCTTATCAGTTTATGAAATCCTCCCTTTGAACCATTCTTCTAAATGTGCTGGTTATTTTCCTCCTAACCATCTATTTTCTGGTACTCAGCTTAAAGTGAGGTATACAGGATCAAGCACAGAATAGTTGTTGCAAAGTGTGGTGAGACATGTCTTGACTTCTGGGCTGTGTTCTGTTATTGCAGAGGGCCAGCCTGGCTCCTTTGAGAGCGCAGCTGGTTTCAATTGAAGGGTGGGGCGAAAACAGGGGAGGCATTTAGGACTTGTTCAGTGTTGCTGTGGAAACAATGTGTTGTAGCTAGTTCTTCTCAGAAAGGTTATGGTAAAGGAAGATGGTTATGGAATCCTAGCTCAGGGCCGAAGGAAGTTGAACATTTTTCTTTTTTCCTTTTGATGTAATGGAGAGGTTTTGGCTTGTCTGTAGTCCTTGGGTAAAAAGTCAGTGAATTACAAATCAACGGGAAGAGACTGAACATTCAGAAAAGGAGGATCCTTAAGAGAACGTGGCAGTGGGATCATTGGTACAAATGAAAAATTACTTTGGGAAAAAACCCACTGTTTTCAGAGAGAAGAGATTGGGTGAGGTCACAGTGTTTCCCTGGTTTGGAGCGTCATCTCTAGTTTGGATGGTTTATTTGGGCATCTCAGATTTTCCTGTGTCTATTTCTCATCTTTGAAATCTGCCTGTGTCAACACTGCCAGAGGGATTCTCTCAAAATTCTTGCACCTTCAGTATTTCCAGCTACTGGAGAGTAAAACCTAAACTCCCTACCAAGATAGTGCTCAGTCCCAGCCTGCTTCTATCTTCCTGACCTGTACTTCCCCTTACCCACCTGCCGCATCCATGTGCATGTGACCTACAGACACAAACCCTCAGCCTTTGTTCATGCTGAGTCCTTGTTGTTCAGTCTCGAAGTCATATCCAGCTCTTTGCAACCCCATGAACTGTATGTAGCCTGCGAAGCTCCTCTGTCCTCCATTATCTCTTAGAATTTGCTCAAATTCATGTCCATTGAGTCGGTGATGCTCTCTAATCCTCTCAACTTCTGCCTTCCCTTTCTTCTTTTGCCTTCAGTCTTTTCGAGCATCAGGGTCTTTTCCTGTGAGTCGTCTCTTTGCATCAGGTGGCCAAAGTATTGGAGCTTCAGTATCAGTCCTGCCAATGAATATTCAGGGTTGACTTCCTTTAGGATTGACTGTCCTTAGGACTCTCAAGGGCCTTCTCCAGCACCACAGTTCAGCCCACCTCTCATATCCATACGTGACTACTGGAAAAACCATAGCTTTGACTCTGCTGATTCTTTACCCACACAGCTTTCTTTCTCTCCCCCCTTCATCTGTTAATTGTTCTCGTTTTTAAAAACCGCACAAATGCCCTTTCTTGGGAGAAATGGTATTTGAGTCTCCCTGTTTTCCCTGTTAGAGTGTTGCTCCTTTTTCTAAACTGTCAGTTCTAATGCTTAGAACTTAAATCTCAGTTTGACCTGATTTTATTCTGCCATAAATTATAGAATTTCTTTTCTTTTATTCTTTATCATGTATTTGGCTTTCCTTACTGGAGAACAAATGTTGGGAGCAGTAATGTCTTGCTGACTCACCCGGCATCTAGCACTAAATCCTGTAGATAGTACATGCTGATTGAATGGAAAATGAATGTAGATAATTGAAGATTAGGACTTTTGTGTAGAGAAAGAGCATTTTCAAAGTAGTATTTGTTTAAAGCTGTGTTAGTTGACAAGCCCCTGATCATCAGCTGTGAACAAACACTGAGCTGCTTTAACTAAGGCAGTTGTCTTTATTCATTTTCATTTCTCTTACTGTTAGAAACCTGCAAGTTTTTATTGTATGTGTTTTAGCTATTTAGTTTAGTCATTCTTTGGGCAGATGGTTTATTTTGTTGTCATAATTGAAGTTGTACTCTGTATCCATCTACACAGCCTTATTGGATTCCAATCTATTGAATTGGTGAAAATTTAATTTGTGTGGTTATTTTTAATTCTCATTTCAGAATAATTGAGCAAAAATGGAGATGTGGTTGTATTTGTCATTTGTTGAGCATCTAACTTAAATTTAGCTTGACATTATTTCTATAATCAGTATTTTAGAGGGCCTCTTTGGGCGGTGAATTTTTCCCATTTGTCAATTTGTTGATTTAATAACTTACTTGATAGTTTATATAAATTTACATTTGAGTTGATTATATAGTACTGTTTTAAAAAAATAAGACAAACATTTCTAGAAAAGACAAATGAAATTTTGCCTAAAATTAGTTGAATATACAAATATAAATTGATTTTTTTTAAGCAACCTTTAACAAAACTTTTTAAGATAATTTTAGATTCGTGTGCATTTGTAAGAAGTAATATGGAGAGATTCTGTATACCCTTTACTCAGTTTCCCATTGGTAGCATCTTAAATTCCATCCAGTATCACACCAGGACATCAACATGGGTACAGTCTACAAGTCTTAGTTATGATTGTGGCTTAATACAGGATTAGTTTTCTACATGGATACTTAACAAAAATGTGCTGAAAGTAGTCCAAATTATTTTTACATATATTGTTGCAGTCAATCCTTACTATTCTATTGAGTTAATTTGTTTTTACCTTTTAAATTTAAACCATTGAAATAATATATATGTAAATCACTTGAGCTATTATTAAAAGCTAAAGTACAAAATAATTATATTAGATTTATTTAGCCTGACTCATTGAAAGACACTCACTGAAAAAAACAAATCAGAAATGTTTGTTGTTTCTTGAAGTGAAAAACGGTATATTGAAAGACCTTAAGAATTAAAGCCATCAAAGTAGTTTGAGGAATTAAAGTTGCAGAAAAGGAGGTATTTTTGTGTTTGTATGCTGTGCCCATTCTCTATAACTATCCTGTTTGATTTATGAAATTTTATCTGTTTACCCTCCAGGTGTTCAAAATTCTCAGAACTGCAGGCCAGATAGAGGGCTTTTGCTTATACATATTGGATAAAATTAGTTTTAATCTGAAAAGATTTTCACAAAGGTTTTTTTTTTCCTCCTTTGAGCATCTTCTCCCATTACTCTTACAGAAATTAAATGGAGGTAATTTGCTCAAAAGTTATTTGCTCAAAAGTCTGATGATTAAGAAACATTTACTCCAGATTGTGTCCCAGTAAAGTTTTTAAATTGAATAACATTATTATTTATTTATTAATCTCCCTCAAGCTTCTCAGTCAAACCAGTTTGATCATTTTAGAGGCTCATTGTGATTTTCCTTCTACCTCCTTTTCATCAGCCACACTCTTCCTTTGAATGTTAGCAGATTATTGATGTCTCTAAGGTTTCTCTCATCAGCCCTCTCCTCATTTTAAATCCTCTCTTTGCACAACTTCATCATTTGCCAGTTTTCCAGTTTATATCTTCATCCCCGATCTCATTTACAGCTGGCTCTTAGACTTCCACCCAGATCATCTCAAAGTATCTTAAAATGAACGGTCCACAGGGAACTCGAGCACCCATCCCACACCCTATCTCCTCGCTAGACAACAAACATCATGAGTGAGAGATGGTGTTTTTTTTCCCTTTGGCTCATGTGAATAGTTGAAGGAATGCTTCTAAAGGTGGATGTCTGAGAAGTAAACTTGATTCCTCCCGTTCCTTCATGCCTCCTTCGGGTCTGTTCCGCAGTCTCGTCAGTGTTGCTGCCTTAGTAGTTCTGAGCCCGTTGACTACTTTCAAACCCACAGTCACTACCTTTGTTTCAGCCACTACCTGTTTTTTCTTGGACTACTTTAGCAGTGTCCCTGTCCTTGTGGACTCATCTCGAATCTTGAACCCTCTGAAGTCTATTCGCCACTCTGCAGTCAAAAGAATGGCTCTGAAAGCTCCCTATCCTGGCTTCCGGCTCCTGGATTTTGTAACTCCTGTGATCACTAGACCTCAGACAGTCCCATTTGGGGGGGATGCAATATGAGTTTGGGTGCTCGAATGAGATATGGCTTTGAAAACTGATTCTTATCAATGACTGATTATGGATAGGACAAATCCAATCGGTGAACCTATCTGATGTCAGTTTCTTTATCTTTAAAACAGAAGTGTTAGTGTTAGTTGCTCAGTCGTGTCTGACTCCTTGCAACCCCTGGCTCCTCTGTCTGTGGAATTCTTCAGGCAAGAATACTGGAGTGGGTTGCCATTCCCTCCTCCAGGGGATCTTCCCAACCCAGGGATCGAACCCCAGGTCTCCTGAACTGCAGACAGATTCTTTATGTTTTAAGCACCAGGGAAGCCCCAGGGTGATGAGCAAATCAAAGTACATGATAAAGTACTTGACAGAGTGCCCCGCGTATGTGAATGAGCTGTTATATTACCCGTGTTCTGATCCCATTGTCTTCCACGTATCTTTCTGTCATAAGTTAGGTATACAAGCATTCCTGATTTGAACAGTGTTCTAACACCTAAGCCTGATAGTATGTGTTTGTTTAGGTCTAAGTGAAATTGAGACTTTCTAGTCTACATGCTGTTCATCACTGGTTGCTAGTTTCTCTCTGGTTTTCATTTTCTTATTTACAGAAGTGAGAGCTTTGGATCAGATGATGTCTAGAATTTATTTTTCCCTTTAATGATATAATTAAGGAAATTGAAAAATGAGCCCCAGCACCTTCATTTACCAATTGATTGTTTTTTATTTCCTTCAAGTCTTTGTCCTTATCCATGCGTGTTCTTAGTACTCACAGATAAAGTTTATCTTTTGCTTTATTGCATGCATTGAACTTTTCCCATGTGACTGCATTGCCTTTATGACTTCAGTGGTGCGTAGTATTCTGAGTATTCTGTAGAGTTGACGACCTTCAGTTACTTAGTCATCTTCCTGTTTTTAAACATTTACATATTATTTTCAGTCTTAGAATTCTGTTCTGTTCTCTCTTTCAGAACTGGTTTTTACAGGAAATTCAGTTACCAAAATAGTACAGAACTAAAAACTAAATGTCTATTTATAATCAAACAGCTGGCAAGCATTTATGACCCCACATGCTTATTAGCCACATCCGGAAATGGCTATCCACAATACTATTGATTATCTGTATTGTATTCTCAGGTGGCTTCAGTGGTAAGGAACCTGCCTGCCAATGCAAGAGACTCAGATTCAACCCCTGGGTCAGGAAGACCCCCTGGAGGAGGTCACAGCAACCTGCTCCAGTATTCTTGCTGGGAGAATCCCATGGACAGAGGAACCTGGAGGGCCCCAGTCCATAGGGTCTCAAAGAGTCGAACACGACTAAAGCAACTTAGCACATATAGCATGGGCTGGGATCAAATGTTAGTGCTTTTAAGAAGCTCTAAGTGTAGATTTCTAGGTTAAGATCTACTGCATTCAGGTTAAGATTGACCAGGAAATTCTGGCTTCCTTTAACTGATAAATGATTTTAAAAAAAAAACCCTCTTAGTAATGACCTTTTTTTTTTTTTTCCTAATTACACCTAGTACATTGCAATTTTAGGGAAATTAAACCTTCCTACCACCACTGGCCCTCTTGTGTTCTTCCCACCAAATGTCTCAGCCTAACCTCTGAGATAGATTCATGTATATTATCCACTACTTTGTGTGCACATGTATACAACACCATATAGCAGCAACAACTTTTAAATACCTTAATAGTCACCAAATATATGTTTGAGGCCATATAAAGGGAGCTTTGAAATACTTCATGATATCACTTACATGTGGAAAAAAGATTAGCTCTGAGAAACAGAGGTGAAATGGTGGTTACCAAGAATTGGGAGAGGATGGAAGTCATGAGGAGATGTTGCTCAAAGGATACAAACTCCCAGTTGTAAGATTATCAAGTCTGGCAATTGAATGGACAGTTCAGTTCAGTTTAGTTCAGTCGCTCAATCATGTCCAACTCTTTGCAACCCCACGGACTGCAGGCATGCCAGGCTTCCCTGTCCATCACCGACTCCTGGAGCCTACTCAAACTCATGTCCATCACATTGGTGATGTCATCCAACCATCTCATCCTCTGTTGTCCCCTTCTCCTCCCACCTTCAATCTTTCCCAGCATCAGGGTCTTTTCGAATGAGTTGGTTCTTCGCATCAGGTGGCTAAAGAATTGGAGTTTCAGCTTTAGTATCCGTCCTTCCAATGAATATTCAGGACTGATTTCCTTTAGGATGGACTGGTTGGATCTCCTTGCAGTCCAAGGGACACTCAAGAGTCTTCTCCAACACCACAGTTCAAAAGCATCAATTCTTTGGTACTCAGCTTTCTTTATAGACCAGCTCTCAAATCCATACATGACTACTGGAAAAACCATAGCTTTGACTAGACAGACCTTTGTTGGCAAGGTAATGTCTCTGCTTTTTAATATGCTGTCTAGGTTAGTCATAGCTTTTCTTCCAAGGAGCAAGAGTCTTTTAATTTCATGGCTGCAGTCACTATCTGCAGTGATTTTGGAGCCCCCCAAAATAAAGTCTGTCACTCTTTCCACTGTTTCCCCATCTATTTGCCATGACGTGATGGGACCTGATGCCATGATCTTAGTTTTCTGAATATTGAGTTTTAAGCCAACTTTTTCACTCTCTTTCACTTTCCTCAAGAGGCTCTTTAGTTCTTCGTTGCTTGCTACCATAAGGGTGGTGTCATCTGCGTATCTGAGGTTATTGATATTTCTCCTGGCAGTCTTGATTCTAGCTTGTTCTTCATCCAGCCTGGCATTTGTACAGTGTGGTAATTATAGCTAGTAATATGATTGGGATTTACATTTATAATAACTAAAACTAAAAACAAAATGTAAAGGTAAAAGCAAAATGCTCTGTCAGTAATAAAATAATGCTCCCATAATTTCTCATGATTGTTTGTAGTAAATTATGTAGCCTAAAGTTACTTTCTCACTTTTCCTCTAAAGTAATATTCATGTTTTATTTATTGTATGCTAAGTAATTTCAAATACATTTAATAGACCTATTACCTCTATACATGTTTAAAAGTGATACTTGCCAATAGCCTTATTCTTTCTAACAAAAATAACTTTTTTTTACTTAGCAAGGTCAGCATTGGATGCGGTTGTACGTTGTAAGTATTTCCTCTCAATATTTTGCATATAGTTTATACTTTTTCTCTTGTTATAAGGAAACTATTTGATTGGAAAGCTCAATATTTTGGGTGTTTATTTATAATAGATATTTTGTTCCATTAATGTTTTTTAGCTTCAGTATTTTAAGAATAGAAAGTACGTAAAAGGAGAATTCCTAGTTAGACTTAGTTTGTGAGCAGATATTTGGTGATGCATCAGGCATATGTGGAGTGGAAATGGAGAGTAACAATCCTAAACCTCCCACATCCTGGATTTGTAAAATAAACCTTAAAAATAATTAGATACATTATATTTGCCCTCAGTGACCATCATATTACTTGTTCCATTTATATTCATTTTTAGTTTGTTTCCTAGGAGGTTCTGTTTGGTTTGTTTGTGGTTTTCATTTTCTTTCTTTCTTTTTCTTTTTTTTGAGATTCTCTGAAACTCTCAGGAAAATAAAAAACCTAGCATGTAGTTTAAAAATATATATATACATGTATACACACACACACACATATATATATATATATCTTGGTGTTTGCATAATGCCCTTTGTGGTTTGAGATCTGAAGCAAACTAAACACAGAATCTGTTAACAGTTTTTTTTTTTCTCTCCAAAGCTACAAAACCTCCCAGATATAAATGTGGAATCTCGAAAGCTTGCCCTGAGAAGCATTTTGCTTTTAAAATGGCAAGTGGAGCAGCCAATGTGGTGGGACCCAAGATCTGCCTGGAGGACAATGTGTAAGTGCTTACCAGTTTGGAAGGATGAGGAGCACTATTAAATTTTAGCAAATTGAACCTGAGTTTATTGGATCTTTTGAAAATGTATTGAGCATACCTTTACTAAAGAAAAGTGATTTCCATTTCCTTCGTACAATTTCCCCCACTCATTTAAGGAGTCTTAAAGTTCTTAAATTTTGTATTAGATTGTGGTAAGAACATAGCATTCATCCAGCTTCACGTATAGATGAGAGATTTCCTCTGAATGAATTTTCTGGATCCCATCTGATAGTCATAGACACAGATGGCTATTTAATTTTGATTCCTAAGTAATAGGGGGCAAGTTAATTCATTTAAATTAATTAAAATTAAAGTTCACTTCTTCAGTCATACCAGCCATATTTCAAGTGCTAATAGCCACATGCAGCTTGTGGCTACCCAATGCAGCAGCGCAGGTAGAAAGCGTTTCCGTTACTGCAGAAAGTCCAAGTAGGATTATTTTCATCAACTAGACTGCCCCAGATAATGAATGCTTTATCTTACAGACCAACATCTCACATTTTAAATGTTTGAATGCTGCCTGCTGAAGTGTGAAATAGCCCAGTAATAACCTCAAGTCCGTCGTGGCCCAGAGCTGCTTGCCACTAAACTGAATGGTTTCCTTTATCGAGATGCTCTGCAAAGTATACCTTTTAGGCTTTTTTCGTCTCGTACTCCTGTGTCACTTGTCGTGAAGTTCTTGGATTAGAGAGACGTTTTTTGACCCACTCAGTCTAAAGTTGGACACCTCCCCCTCACTTCACTCACCCCCATCAATATTCATCACACCCTTGCCATCACACATGCCCTGGACAGTGTGTGCCATATTTTCTAGTTATTCTAATTATCATTTCTAAGTTCCTGGCTCTGAAGTAACAAACCCTGCATTTTGTTGGTTGCTTCTAATCGGGTCTTATCTGAAAAATTAGATACATGATAGGCTTTACGTAAAATAATATATGTGCCATTTAATTATATAAAGAGTGAGGTAATTTTACAGATAGGAGGAAATGGGGCAGTATTTCCCAGCTTTTTGTCTTTTCTTTTTAATACAGAAGCGCTAACATTTTTATCCTTGCCCCTCTTTTTAGTTAGCCATGTGTAGGATTTAGCCTCTTAGAATAAAACTTTTACTGTAAAATTAAAAGCTTGAGCCAGGTGATCCTAAGGTCCCTGCTCATTTCCTTTATTCTCAGGCCGATGATAATCCATTGTTCATCCATCGTCATCTGATGTCTCATAACAGTCTTGCTTTACTGAATTGAAAGCATTTGGATTTTCAAAGTTTGTAGACTTTGCATTAAATAACATCCTTCCCATTACTTTAGAATGTTCCATTCCCCCTTTTCACCTTGTTTGGCTAAAGGGGCCAGATATTTGATCCTGAATAATAAGTAGAAAGTTCTCTTAGAATGCCCAGTCCATTCACGACAGGCTATCTTCATATATCTCTGCCCCCTTGAAGCATGTAAGGTTTAATTCAAAGAAGAGATCAAACTAGTAAATAATAGCAGGTTGTCTATTCACAGATTATAATAAGTTAAAAAGAAGAGAGAAATGTATTAAGCAGTGGAATCTGGTAAAAAAAAAAAAAAAGTATCGTCTCAGAGCCAGAGAATTTGGTTCTAGCATAGTGGGCGTGTCATGTAGAATTTATATTTCAGTTTGTTTAACCATAAAACTGAGACAGGCCACCTGTCCATCTGCTTTTCAGGAATCATTCTGCCATTCATGTGAGAGTGAATAATTGATGGGATTTTATAGTTATGCCTCAGGCCCTGAAATCTAGTCCTTGAAAGGGGACTAAACTATTGACCAGGGATCCCTAGTGGAGAACCTGTAGGGACAGTTCAGTCTAGTGCTTTCTTTCCAGTATGTTCTAAGTCTGTATTGAAAGATTTTTCCAACAAAAATTTTAAAGAAATCTGAATTTTCTTAGCATCATTCATTCCATTCATTTTTTCTTCAGCAGGTATTTACTGAGCACAGTTCCTGCTCTCATGGAACACACAGTCTGGTAGGGAGAAGGATATTTCAGAAGTAAATGCAAATAAATAGAAATTGTTGCACACACTGTCCAGAGCAGCAGGGTGTGACAGATACTGATGGGGGCAGTGAGATGAGATCAAGGTGTCCAACTTTAGATTGAGTGGGTCAAGGAATGATTTTCTAAGATATTTAGTGTGAGAATTAAAGGATAAGAAGCAAGACTGCCAGGCGAAGACCATTCTAAACAGAAAGAGGAGCACGCTTGAAGGCCGACGGTGGGAAAGAGCTGGAGAGAAGTGGATAATGGCCAGGTCATTGGAACTTATAGGCCGTGCAGAAAAGGAGATGAGATCTTTTTCTGAGTGTTGAGAGGTTGTTGAAGGTTTTCAAACTCCGTCATGCCTTCACTTCATTTGTATTGAAGAAAACGATCTGACTGCTGAGTGAAATGATGAGAGGAGTAAGGGTAGACAGGGCGATTGGAGGGCCTTTCCCAGGTGCTGGCACAGCCTTTCGATTCCCCCGCCACACACAGTTGGCAAGAGACTTGCTTGCCTGTGTGCTCACTGAAATATCTAAGTGGATCCTAAGAATACATAAGTAGAAATTTTAATATTTTCCTACACATGCTCTACGCATACGCAAGCTCATTTTGCAGACTACTAGTGCAGATCAGTGCTTCTCAGTGGGGGCAGTTTTCTCCCCAGGGGAAACTTGTCAAGGTCTGTAGACATTTTGGGGCATCAGAGTTAGAGAGGTGCTGCTTGTAGAGACCAAGGATGCTCTTAAATTTCCTACAGTGCACAGGACAGCCCTTCCTCATGAGTTATCAAATCTGTAATATCATTGTAGACTAAGATTTAGAAACCCCAATACAAACAAAGATGAAAATACGCTCATGGTCATGACCGTGGTCCTGCATCTAAAGGACAAGTAGATGCTGTCAAGATATATTATGGAGGTTAGATGGATTTCAAACTTCTCATTATTTAGAAATATTTAGAAAATCCCAGGTATAAATATGAGGTGTCACATAATACAGGAATTATAGCTTTTTTTTCTTTTGTATTAGAGAACCCCTAAGAGTTTGCTTATATTCAAGATCTAGCTTTTATTTCAGGCATATACTCTTATTTCAGTTTATAGGAAGTTGATATTGGGAATAATACTTCATCTTTTATTATAATCTTAATGCTTGGTACAGAAGTTATGTGGTGGACTATTTTGAGGGATTTTTTTTTTTTTCTTCACATTGACGAACAAGATAGGATTTTTGGCTGGGAGAACCAAAAGATAAAATCAAGGATATGATGTAGGTACTTACGTAATCATTTTAAATGTAACCATATAAAAATATAAGAACCATTTTAAGCTCGTGAGTGGAAAAACAAAGCAGCCAGCCAGTCAGCTGGCTAGATTTGACCCATAGGCTATAGTTTGTTAAACCCTTCTCTAAACCATTTTAAGGCATAATAGAACATGTTGTAGGTATTTGAAACAAAACTGTATTCGAAGGTGTAGCGTCTGTCTATAGAGAATATAATCATTTTCTTTAACTATTTGCCTGCAGATGTGGAGTGGTGGGGGGAACCTTCATATTCATGAAAGAGAAAGAAAGTATTTCAGCTTGTGTTAGTACTGGGTGACTAACCTGTATAGATTTAAAATCTTTACTGATTTGTCCTTTGCTGGCTATAGGTTTCCCCTGATTAAAGTCTGCTTTTTAAAACTTGATAAGCTACTGCCCTCTTGTGGGAAGCCCATGTCACCATGTAGCTTTGCTGCCTTTCTTTGCTCTCTGATAGACACAGCAGAACACTCCAAATGATCTCTCCTGGAGAAGACACCGTGATGCTTAATTATTACTCTAACGGTTAATAGTATCACTGTGGCTTCTTCACATTAATGATGGCTATAACACATTTGCAAAAGGAGTAGAACAAATGTACTTCGAAACTTCCCTCTTTTATGCAGCAGTCTTGTTTGGTACCTCTTACAGACCACCTTTCAAACCTGGTCTTGCACACATATAGGAAATATCTATGTTTTATTTAACTGTTCCTGGGTCAGGAAGATCTGGAGAAGGGATAGGCTACCCACTCCAGTATTCTTGGGCTTCCCTTGTGGCTCAGCTGGTAAAGAATCCGCCTGCAATGTGGGAGACCTGGGTTTGATCCCTGGGTTGGGAAGATCCCCTAGAGAAGGGAAAGGCTACCAACTCCAGTATTCTGGCCTGGAGAACTCCATGGACTCTATAGTCCTTGGGATCACAAAGAGTTGGACATGACTGAGCAACTTTGACTTTGACTTTCACTTTTTCAGTTTTACAGAACGAGTGAAATTTTGAAGGCAGATTCACAAGTATGAGTAGATAGTTAAATGCTACTAAGTTGTGTCCGACTCTGTGTCCCCATGGACCCCTCCAGGGTCCTCTGTTCATGGAATTCTCCAGGCAAGAATACTGGAGTGGGCTGCCATTTCCTCTCCAGGGAATCTTCCTGACCCAGGGATAGAACTCTGCATTGCAGGCAGATTCTTTACCATTCCCTGAGCCACTAGGGAAGCCAAGATTTTACAAATCAAAATTTTATGCTTTTCCTTTTTCAGTAGATCTTGGACTAGAGTTTTTCTTTTACTTTTCAGTTTTGAAACAATTACAGGAATCACAGGCAGTTGCAAAGATAGTACAGAGAGATCCCATGTGCTGTTCACCCATTTTCCCCACGGTTAGATCTTATGGAATTACAGTACAGTATCAGAATGGAAATTGGCAATTAGTACAGTGTCTCTATAGTTAGGACTAGAGATCTCTTCAAGAACATTGGAGATATCAAGGGAATATTTCATGCAAGGATGAGCACGATAAAGGACAGAAACAGTAAGGACCTAACAGAAGCAAAAGAGATTAAGAAGAGGTGGCAAGAATACACAGAAGAGGTATACAAGAAAGGTCTTAATGACCTGGATAAGCATGATGGTATGGTCACTCACACATCCTGGAGTATGAAGTCAGGTGAGCCTTAGGAAGCATTACTACAAACAGAGCTAATGGAGGTGACGAAATTCCAGGTGAGCTATTTACAATTCTAAAAGATGATGCTGTTAATGTTCTACACTCAGTGTTTCAGCAAATTTGGAAAACTCGGCAGTGGCCACAGGACTGGAAAAGGTCAGTTTTCATTACAGTCCCAAAGAAGGACAATGCAACGACTGTTCAAACTGTTGTACAATTGTGCTTGTTTCACATGCTAGCAAAGTAATGCTCAAAATCCTTCAAGCTAGGCTTTAGCAGTTTGTGAACCAAGAACTTCCAGATGTACAAGCTGGGTTTAGGAAAGTCAGAAGAACCAGAGATCAAATTTTCTACATTCATTGGGTCATGTAGAAACCAAGGGAATTCCAGAAAAACACCTACTTCTGCTTCATTGACTATGCTAAAGCCTTTGAATGTGTGGATCACAACAAACTGGAAAATACTTCGAGAGATGGAGTACCAGACCTCCTTACCTGTCTCCTGAGAAACCTGTATGCAGGTCAAGAAGCAGCAGTTAGAACCAGACATGGAACAACAGACTGGTTCAAAATAGGAAAAGGAGTGCTTCAAGGCTGTATATTGTCACCCTGCTTATTTAACTTATATGCAGAGTACATCATGCAAAATGCCAGACTGGATGAATCACAAGCTGGAATCAAGGTTAACCTCAAATATACAGATAATACCACTCTAATGGCAGAAAGTGAAGAGGTACAAAGAACTTCTCGATGAGGGTCAAAAAGAAGAGTGAAAAAGCTGGCTTGAAACTCAGTATTCAAAAAACTAAGATCATGGCATCTGGTCCCATCACTTCCTGGCAAATAGAAGTGGAAGAAGTGGCAGCAGTGACTGATTTTATTTTCTTGCATTCCAAAATCACTGCGGATAGTGACTGCAGCCACAGAATTAAAAGATGCTTCCTCCTTAGAAGAAAAGCTATGACAAACCTAGACAGTGTATTAAAAAGCAGAGACATCACTTCGCTGACTTTGATGTAGAATCATATAATATGTAAGCATTTGAGATTGTTTTTTTTTTTCATTCAGCATAATGGTCTTGAAATATTATTATGTATTAATAATTTGCTCCTATTTTAATTCTGAGTAGTACTCTATGGATATGCCACAGTTTAGCTATGCCTCGCAAATTTTAATAAGCTGCATTTTCAGTGTGTTTTTAAATTTTTCACTTCAGGCTTCTTTGACCCATAGGTTATGTAGAAGTATATTGCTTAGTTTCCAAATGTTTGGAGAATTTCCTGTTATCTTTCATTATTGATTTCATTGTGGTTGGAGACACATTTGATATGATTTCAGTACTTTTAAATTTGTTGAGGTTTGCTTTATGACCCATGATATGGTCTATCTTAGTATATGCTGGAAGAATGGGTGCTGGGAAAGAATGTATATTTGTCAGCGAGTAGAATATTCTTTAAATGTCAGTTAGACCCTGATGGTTAACGCTGTTGTTGAATTCTTGTATACTCTTTTTAATTTCCTGTCTTTCAACTGTGGAGAGGGATATTGACATGTCCCACTGTAATTGTAGATTTGTCTTTTTCTCCTATCAGTTCTACCTAGTTTTTGCTTCACATGTTTTATACCTTGATTGCTTGGTACACACACTTGGGGTGACTATGTCTTCTTGCTAGATTGACCCTTTGATCTTTATGCAAACCTCCTCTCTGTCTCTGATATTTTTCTTTGCTCAGAAATCTATTTTAATTGATATTAATATAGCCATTCCTGTTTGCTTTTGTTTAAACAGCTTTATCGAGATATAGTTCATTTACCGTACATTCATTTAAAATACACAGTCATTGGATTTTAGTATATTCACAGATGTGTGCACCCATTACCACACTCGGTTTTAGAACATTTTCATACCTCAGAAGGGCACTCTGTGTCCTTCAGCTGTTGTCCTCCTGCTCCTTTCCTATTGTACTCTACTCCATCTGCCCTCCCCCCAGCAGCCCGAAGTAACTACTGAGTTTACTTTCTGTCTCTATAGATTTGCCTGTTTTGGACTTATATATATATATATATATACACACACATATATATATAAATAATAGGTACGGGTTCTTTTGTGATCAGCTTCTTCACTAAGCACAGTGTTTTCAGGGTTCATCCATGTTATAGTATATATCAGTACTTCACTTCTTTTTATGGCTGAAAGATAGTTCATTGTATAGATACGTCACATTTTGTTTAGTTTCACTAATTTCATTTCCATTCATTAGTTTGTAGACTTCTGGATTGTTTCTACCTATTTCTAATAGGCAGCATGTAGTCGAGTCCTATATTAATCCACCATCCCAATTTCTATCTTCATTGGATATTTTTGAACTATTTATACTTAGAATTATTGATGTGCTCAGGCTTAAGCCTGCACTTTTATTACTTTCTGTTATCTGTTTTTGTTTCTGTTTTCTTTTACTGCCTTCCTGTGAGTTATGTTAACATTTTTTAAAACTTCATTTATTTATTAAGTGTATTTCTTTGTGTAGCTTTTTTAGTGCTTGCATTTCATATTTACTCTCTGGCCCCTTACAGAAAAGTTTTGCTGACTCAAGGTCCAGACTTAAGAAAATGAGGGAGAAAATGTTCATTGTCCAGAGTAAAACTAAAAGTATATTATGTTTGTAGGTATTAGAAATAGCACAGAAGTTGAGGAAGTTGCCTTTCAGTGAGTCAACAAAAACATCACTGACATCACTGACAGACAAGTGAAATTCCAGCATATGTCTTTATTGTTCACTGTTTCAAGTTTTTCTGACTTTGTTTTATTCTTCAAATGAACTAACATCCAACATTTGTGTTGGAATTTTGCTCGTTCATCACTTGCTACCTACCATAGGTTAAGTAAAATGAGTTCCATGAAAATCATAACACATTCTGTGAGAATCAGTGGCTACGTGAAATTTATAATCAAGTATGTATTTTATTATTTGTGAAATTTTGTGCTTCACATCCTTTCTGTCAGTTAAAATTTATAATAAACTTACATTGTTGGTTGAGAATATAATTATTTCAAATAGGTAAGAGAAAGTCTGAATATCTGTTGATAGACGGATAAAGGATAGATAGATAGATGTATCATGTATGAGTACAGAGTGTGTATTTACATTTTGCATACTCACTTCCCCACCACCTCAAACCACTTCTTAATTTAACAGCACATCACTGTGAATTTTTAGAATAAAAGGTACCTACGCTTTTAGTTTAATAATTTTAATTCAACAAACTGAACTGATAACAAGCAAATATTTTGCTCGTACCTTCCATTTCACAGTATTTGTTATCTTTATGTAATGGTCTTTGAGCTGCCCGTGGAGGTTGATTACCACAGAATGACATTGCAAGTCTTGTGGTTCAATGCTGTAATTATATGAATACAATATTCCTTCTTCTGGGTAATGAGAAATTTTGCATCAGTAATCACTAAGAGAATGTTCACAATTAAGTTAATCTTCTTGCTTTCAGATTATAAAAGATTTTGGTAGCATCTCACCTCTGTTTCATGTCACATTAACATTATAGAAAGTACACTAGAGTTTATCCTTTTTATTCCTTTGAGAATGGTGCCGGCTGTGAGCATGATGTCCATGTGTTTGATAGATTTTCTAAAATGGTCTTTCATAATCTGATGCAGGGCAGCAAGAAGGAGTCTAGTATTTTGACTGTAACACTTTTTAATATATATTTCTGTTTGTGAAATCTTAAGAAAGTTGCTTTTAAATTATTCAGTGTTAGACAGTCTTCTCTGACTTAGTAGAGACCTTTCAGTCTCCACTGTAGTACTAAACAGCTGTGTGTATATGTAACACTCCCAACTGTATGTTTTTTGGCATGTATGGCTGTTTATGTGCAGTGGATATTTATGTGCAGTATCGAATTCTAAATTTGGCTTAACTTCTCCCCTTCAGTTTAATGAGTGGTGTTAAGAATAATGTTGGAAGAGGAATCAATGTTGCCTTGGTAAACGGTAAGAATAATTATTTTACCTTGTGGGTGTGGTGGAGATAAGGGTATAGCGGTATATAGCTATATTTATGGCCCAAGACAAAATATACTCTTATATCAAGAGATCAGGTAAGAAAGAGTCAAGCTTGACATGAAAGCTCTCCCCGCACCCTCCCACAACATCAGCTGTGAGTAGAGATGAGACACTGCATTTTGGTGTTTACATCATGCTCCCTTGGAAGCATCCAACTTGCTGTGCAGTGTATAGAGAGCCTCCCATGAGATTGTCAGGATACAACCAATCTAACATTATCTAACAATTGATGAATTCATGCTGCAGATATTGGAATCCTAACGTAATGTATCAGAATGATCTCTGTTCATTTCCAAGGCAAAACATTCAATGTCATGGTAATCCAAGTCTATGCCCCGACCAGTAACACTGAAGAAGTTGAAGTTGAATGGTTCTATGAAGACCTATAAACCTTTTGGAACTAACACCCAAAAAAGATGTCCTTTTCATTATTATAGGGGACTGGAATGCAAAAGTAGGAAGTCAAACACCTGGAGTAACAGGCAAATTTGCCCTTGGAGTACAGGATGAAGCAGGGCAAAGGCTAATATAGTTTTGCCAAGAGAATGCACTGATCATAGCAAACGCCCTCTTCTAACACCACAAGAGAAGACTCTACACATGGACGTCATCAGACAGCCAACACCGAAATCAGATTGATTATATTCTTTGCAGCCAAAGATGGAGAAGTTCTATACAGTCAGCAAAAACAAGACCGGGAGCTGACTGTGGCTCAGACCATGAACTCCTTATTGCCAAATTCAGACTGAAATTGGAGAAAGTGGGGAAAAACCACTAGACCATTCAGGTATGATGTAAATCAAATCCTTTATGATTATACAGTGGAAGTAAGAAATAGATTTAAGGGACTAAATCTGATAGACAGAGTGCCTGAAGAAATATGGACACAGGTTCGTGACAGTGTACAGGAGACAGGAGTCAAGACCATCCCCAAGAAAAAGAAATGCCAAAAGGCAAAATGGCTGTCTGAGGAGGCCTTACAAATAGCTGTGAAAAGAAGAGAAGCGAAAAGCAAAGGAGAAAAGGAAAGATACTCCCATTTGAATGCAGAGTTCCAAAGAATAGCAAGGAGAGATAAGAAAGCCTTCCTCAGTGATCAGTGCAAAGAAATAGAGGAAAACAATAGAATGGGAAAGACTAGAGATCTCTTCAAGAAAATTAGAGATAACAAGGGAACATTTCAGGCAAAGATGGGCTCAATAAAGAACAGAAATGGTATGGACCTAACAGAAGCAGAAGATATTAAGAAGAGGTGGCAAGAATACACAGAAGAACTGTACAAAAAACATCTTCATGACCTAGATGATCACAGTGGTGCGATCACTCACCAAGAGCCAGACATCCTGGAGTGTGAAGTCAAGTGGGCCTTAGGAAGCATCACTATGAGCAAAGCTAGTGGAGGTGATGGAATTCCAGTTGAGCTGTTTCAAATTCTGAAAGATGATGCTGTGAAAGTGCTGCACTCAATATGCCAGCAAATTTGGAAAACTCAGCAGTGGCCACAGGACTGGAAAGGGTCAGTTTTCATTCCAATCTCAAGGAAAGGCAATGCCTAAGAATGCTGAAACTGCTGCACAATTGCACTCATATCTCATGCTAGTAAAGTAATGCTCAAAATTTTCCAAGCCAGGCTTCAGCAATACATGAACCGTGAACTTCCAGATGTTCAAGCTGGTTTTAGAAAAGGTAGAGGAACCAGAGATCAAATTGCCAACATCCACTGGATCATCAAAGAAACAAGAGAGTTCCAGAGAAACATCTATTTCTGCTTTATTGACTGTGCCAAAGCCTTTGACTGTGTGGATCACAATAAACTGTGGAAAATTCTGAAAGAGATGGGAATGCCAGACCACCTGACCTGCCTCTTCAGAAATCTGTATGCAGGTTAGGAAGCAACAGTTAGAACTGGACATGAAACGACAGACTGGTTTCAAATAGGAAAAGGAATACATCAAGGATGTATATTGTCACCCTGCTTATTTAACTTATATTCAGAGTATATCATGGGAAATGCTGGGCTGAAAGAAGCACAAGCTGGAATCAAGATTGCTGGGAGAAATATCAGTAACCTCAGATCTGCAGATGACACCACCATTATGGCAGAAAGTGAAGAACTAAAAAGCCTATTGATGAATGTGAAAGAGGGGAATGAAAAAGTTGTCTTAAAGCTCAACACTCAGAAAACAAAGATCATGACATCCAGTCCCATTACTTCATGGCAAATAGATGGGGAAACTGGAAACGGTGGCTGACTTTATTTTTGGGGGCTCCAAAATCAGTGCAGATGGTGACTGCAGCCATGAAATTAACAGACGCTTACTCCTTGGAAGGAAAGTTATGACCAACCTAAACAGCATGTTAAAAAGCAGAGACATTACTTTGCCAGCAAAGGTCTGTGTAGTCAAGGCTGTGATTTTTCTAGTAGTTTTGTACGGATGTGAGAGTTGGACTATAAAAAAGCTGAGCACTGAAGAATTGATGTTTTTGAACTGTGGTGTTGGAGAAGACCATTGAGAGTCCCTTGGACTGCAAAGAGATCCAACCAGTTCATCCTAAAGGAAATCAGTCCTGAGTGTTCATTGGAAGGGCTGATATTGAAGCTGAAACTCTAGTACTTTGGCCACCTGATGAAAAGACCTCATCATTAGAAAAGACCCTGATGCTGGGAAAGATTGAGGGCAGGAGGAGAAGGGGATGACAGAGGATGAGATGGTTGGATGACATCACCGACTCAATGGACATGAGTTTGAGTAAACTCCAGGAGTTGGTGATGGACAGGGAGGCCTTGCATGCTGCGGTCCATGGGGTTGTAAAGCGTCAGACAGGACTGACCAACTGAACTGAACTGAACGTGATATAGACTGACATGAATGCGGGTGTGTAGAATGACGGAAGGTGGTGGACTGTTGCATGGGGTATGGGGCTGAATGAGAGAGCCAGTTGTAATTTTTCAGTATTATCCACACTGAATCTTGAACATCTCAAGTGTTCTTAAAAAATCACATCTGAAAATATGAACCTGTGAAGTGAGACCCAGCTGCATGCTTCTCTTTTTGGCACAGTCACCCTCTCAAACTGTGTGGGGAGAAGAGAATCCACAGCCACCTTCTCTAGTTTATACTGTAGGAAAATAATTTCTATAGTTTTCACAAGGAGAGATATTTTTGTTTCTAGTTTCTGCGTTTTCCTATGTATAAAAGATTCCATGCATATTTGTCCAATTGATAGCGAAAAAAACGTTTTAAAAGGAAATTAAATACAATTTTTTTTGCAAGATTGCTTTAATAACAGAAAATAGCATGGATTCATTTGTTTTTGTTTTTTTTAAGGTTTATGTATTTATGGGTTATTTTTAAAAAAGGGAAGATGGTAACATATAAGGATGAAAAATATGTAACTTTGAATTTGAATTGTCTAAAGTTAGTAGTGAATTTTTGTTTGCTACTCTTCAGCTTACAAAATTAGTGAGAAAGTCCTATTCAAAAATTACCCTTTTAGAAAAAAATTTTAGATGCATGTAATTCAAATTCTAAGTATTTGTAATAATAATTTTCTGCTAATGGATTCACATTGGACAAGATCATATGTCTTATACAATGTAGAGTATATTTCAGTTGCATAATTTGCTATGAATTCAATCTCTTTTAGGCAAAACGGGAGAGCTAATAGACACGAGATATTTTGACATGTGGGGAGGAAGTAAGTATGAATTACATATAACTGTTCTGTTGCTGGCACTGAATCATACCAGTATAATGTAGTTTATTGATGAGAAAATAATGGTACTATTTTGTTTTCATTTTGTTTCTTTTCACTAAATGTCCAGCTCATATTTAAATGATTAGTCGTACTGCATACACTTTGCTTTTTTATAAAAATTATTGGTGATGTGTAATTAAGAGCAGTGATAATCACACTTGAGATTTGTTAAAGTCTTAGTCCTATTTTCTGCAGGACCACTAATTCAAAGCTTTAGGCTGCGTTGGTTTTCTGTCTGAAATTTCTTAAAAAAAAAGAATAAGTAGTTTGAAGAAGGGCTTAACCAGTGTAATCGTGTTTACCTTACTGAATTGATTTTTTTGCATAAAATTTTTCAGTCTCAAAAACTAAGTTCATAACCAGGATTATTATTCAAATAGATGAATATTTGAGAGAAGGAGTAGAATTTTCTTTCCAGTTTATTGTACTTAGAGCAGTCCATAGATAATCTTCCTAATTTGGCAGTTCCAAGGAGCAGGTGGAAATTAGTCACCAGCCTGCAGAGGGAAAGACCTGGCACCTCAAAGATGGTGCCTGAAAGAGAGAGATTTCTTCCTCAAGTCTGAAGGAAGGCCAACACTGATTTAACTGTTGATTCTTTTCTAAGTTGAGGCTCTCCCCTGCACCTCCTCATCCACTTTATGAATTCCCTGGAAGCCAGCAGTTGTTAGGCTTCCCAATTTTATCTTGTTCTCAGACCATTGAGCTTTTCTAATATTTCTTCAGCTTGTGATGAGATGCCATGTATTTATTTTTTAAATGAGATCAGAACTTTTCATTTTATCAAAACGTGTATCAACTTAAAATGTGCCATCAGCTTTAGATTTTAAAGGAATAATTGGTTCTACCAAAATTTATTACATGGAAAGCCTCTTACAAAACTGTTGTTGAAATCAGTCGTGTGACCAGAAGCTCTGGTATTTCATCTCAGGTCAGCAAACTACTGCTAAAAATACCCCTCAAATTTAGAAGTAGTTGCAGTTTACTGCCATCTTTGGATTTAAATGGAAGTGATTTGTTAGCTGCTTTGTTACATTTTTTTCTGAATTAAAAATGCTATTATTTTAAGATAGAATGCAGTTTTAGAGAAATCTTTGTAATCTTTGCTGTAGAAAGAAACTGAATAGTTTTGAAGTAGTATTAGACTTGGGCACTTAGGAATCTGACATTGTAAGGAGTTTAAGATGTAGAATGATTTGTATGGATAGTTCCCAGTCAGCCTCTTTGGTATCACCAGTTTATAGTCACTGACATGGTTTAATCCTTTGTGAATCTTAATACTGCAGATGAAGCAGGTAATGACTGCAGTATTTGCCTTGATTAGTTTGACTTTTAGTGATAACTAGCTTACATTTCTTCCCCTAGTTTATAGTAAGTAGATATTCCCAGAAGATTCTTTAAATCACTGGGGATGTATGTACACTTGTCCCACATTATCTGCAGGGGATTGGTTCCAGGACCCTCTACAGATAGCCCATAATCTTCAGGTGCTCAAGTTCCATAATTGGCCCTCCATACCTGCAGTTCTGCATGCTCAGATTCAACTAAATGAGGATCACATGGTACTGTAGGATTTATTGAAAACAAATCTGTGTATAAGTAGACTCCTGAGCTCAAACACCTGTTGTTCAATGGTCAGCTGTGTATGTATTTATATAATTTTTTAAATGACAGATCCTTTTGTGCAGTAAATAAAAATTCTCTTTTTTAGAAAAGTATCTATGCAAACAACTTTACAGATACTCAGGGAGTCCATGAACCGTTCTCCTGTCTCCTAAATTTCTTACTTGAAATCATGTCATACTTCAGTATGCTGTGGCTTTTTCATTTAGACCCTGGAGTATCAATATGAAACACACACAGGGTGAATCAGAATTGGGAAATTTTAAGTTGATGTGAAACTTAATTTTTATCCTGTTCATAAAATTTGTCTCTCTTTTGGTTTCTCTACATTAGAAATTATCAATTTACAAACACTTCATTTTTTGTACTGTTAAGTTCTAAAAGATTATCATGATGGTTAGTCATTTAAAAAAAAAACAACACTTAACACTTTTTGTTTTTTTTCAGATGTGGCCCCATTTATTGAGTTTCTGAAGGCCATACAAGATGGAACAATAGTCTTAATGGGAACATATGATGATGGTGCAACCAAGTATGTAAATTTCAAAATTTATACAACTTTGCAGATCTATAATATATAGTAACATAAGCAATACATTTTCAATGAAAAAATTTATAGAACAGTCAAGTAATCCAACTTTCAAATAAACACTTTACTTTAAAAAATTTTTCTTTCTGTGTATTTATCATTCATCTATGATTGTGAAATTAGAATCACGTTGTACATAAAGCTCATTATACTCTTTTATGTTCTGTTTTTAACAACTGTAAATTATTTTCTCTAACGATAATATTCTTCAGTATCATTTTCTTATGGCATTTCCCAAAGTGTGTCTGTCCTGTGAAACCTCAGTCCTTTAAAACTGTAATGGCTCTTCTAATCTTTTATCCTGTTAAGTTTCTAAGTCATTTTACCCTCCTGGTTGCATTTCTTGGGCATTCTCTAGATGATAATTGTCCCTTTTAAAATGAAGCCCCAAGTTGGACATAGTGTTCCCAAAGTGGTCTGGCCAGTACAGAGTACCTTGGAGGTGCTCACTCACCATGTTTGAGAAATTACGGTTAATATTCATGAAGACTAGTGTTGCATTCATGTTCTTTAGTCTGTCACATCACAGTGTTCATCAAGTTAAATTCTCAGATCTCTTCATTTGATCTCAGAGTTTTTTTTGTTTTTTTTTTTTAATCACTGACAAGTCAGGTCTTTCTCTCCATTCAGAACTTGGTTTTGTTCAATCTGAATGAAGACTTTATATTCATATACCCTTGTTAAATTTAATTTCGCTGTTACTGGCCCACTTGGTCTTGATGCTGACATTTGTCCTATGAGATTTCCATTGTCTGGGCTTTGTACTCTCTCCAGAGTCATTCAGATTTCTAAATCTAAGTCCTCAATGATAAACATGTTTACTACAGGCAGTGTGCCACCAACTGGAGACCACTTCTGAGGGATTCATCTATCAATCAGCTGTAGAAACTACTTTTCAGTTTCTAGTGTACTCTAATAGGCATACTGTCCAGTTGCTATTTAATTATTTAATTTTCTGAGACTGTCAGATGCCTGCTTGAAATTGGTGGATGATCCTAATTATAATACCCTGGCTTACTGCCTCAAAACTGCTTTTAAAGCTGGAAGTATGAGATGATGTTTACTTGGCTTTACTAATCCAGCCTCCTTCCTGCTACTCTTTCTCTTTATTTCTTATTCTTTCCTTAATACTCACAGGATCTCCTTCTTGTAATCCATTCTAAAATTTTGCTAGGAGTTAGGTTTAATTTTACTGAACTATTGTTTTTAAAATTTTCCTTGTTTTTTTTAAAAACAGGAATATTTAACTTTTAACATATTAACATCTTCACTTTCCATGTTGCTTCTAAAATAACTCACATTACCTTGAAGATTATATTAAGTTCCTTAAGAATTTAAGTGTGTGACATGTGTCCCTCGAGGCTTAAATTTACTTTAAAGTACTTAATATGAACATTGCTGAGCCACTGTTCTCTTTTTGTATTGATTAGTGTTTGCCTCCCTGGAAAAGACAGTTGTGTTTTGATCTCGATATCCTATCATTCTGAAACAGTGGATCCCTTCATTATTTATACTTGGTAGCAAAATTTCCCTCTGTGGCCTTTAGTAGTTTTATGAACCTCATCTCATTTTGAGCACTCAGGTCTTCCTGGTAGTAGTAATAAAAATGTTGTTATTAGTAGCATGGTTTGCCTTGTATTTTTGTACACTTCCTTTTCTTAATTTGAACCCATCATGGAATAGAAGTGGACTCTGGCAGTTCAAACCCAGGTTGTTCAAGAGCCAGTTATATATCTCCAGAATTAATGCTGTGTATAAATGTATTAGTTACACTGCACTGCCTTTTAAAGAAATGGGATATTTTGATATCTGCTATGTCAAGCACTCAAAATATTGGCTGTGTTGCATGGTTTTCAACTTTTCTTTGAACCATGAAATCATCTTTTACTTAGTTACATAGAAGATAGCAAAAAAGAATACTAAAACCTCCCAAATTCTACATAAGCAGATTAGAAAACTTCAGAAATTTTTGGGGAAGTTGTTTGGTTATAAACTTGTAGTTACCTAGACACAGGGACATGTGGCATGGGTGCCCAAGCCCACCCACAGGTTTGATTATTCACTGGGAGGAATCCAGGACTCAGTTTATAGACCTGCTCACTCAGGGCTATGATTTGTTACAGCAAAAGGATGCAAAGCAGAATCCACAAAGGGCAGCTAGTTCAGAGTGGAGTCTGGAGGGAACCAGGGCACCAGACCTGAGTTTCCAAGAGTCCTCTCCCAAGTGGAGTGACACAGAACATGCTTAATTCCTCTAGCAACAGATTGTGACAACACTGGGGCCTGCTGTCCACCAGGGAAGCTGATTGGAGCTCAGGGCCCAAGGTTTTTACTGGGAGCTGGTCCTGATGCACCGTCTGCCTTATACATCCCCAAATTCCAGATTCCCAGCCAGAAAGGAGGTGTTTGGCATAAACTACTTTGTTTGCACAGTTTATACACACGAGAGCCATTCTGATCAGTTCTGGGAATGGGGGGAGCCTCCCCAAATCCAAGCTTCCAGAGCCAGCCAAGGACCAGTCTTGCTCTTAGGCCTTTCTAAGCCCTGCTGTATTAATCCTTTTCTGCTTAGGACCTAAGGGTATTCTCAAAGGAAAGTAAAGAAAGATGAGCGGAATCAAAATGGAAAGCTCAGTTTCATGTTGCTGCTAGATTGGTTAGTTTATTCATGCAGATCAAAACAACAACTTCTGAAACTTGGAAATCCAGAAGGAAAAGTGACTGCCCTTCATTCTATTTCTTAATTGTAAAATTTTTTTAGATATGAAAAAATTGCATGTACTTCTGGCAGGGGGCCAGGCCTGCATTTGGATAACCACCTACTATGAAGGCATTTTTTGTGTATGAAGCAATCTCTTGGCATTTGTGAACCTAACATTCAGTTATTTACAAGCAGCCCTGAAGCCTGCACCCTAAGGTGCAATTTGTGATTTTTCTGAGACGTAACTGACTGAAGCCCATAGGCCTTCCTCCAGGAGGCTGTCCCTAGGCTGCCCAGTAAGCGCAACCTCTGTTCTGCACCATTTATTCTAGATAAAGCAGCAAAACTCACTACAAGTGCTGATGATACCAGTAAAATGTTCTAATTAAGGGGCCAGCAGTAGAACATTTGAATAAACTAAAGAGTGGAATTTAATAGTCTGCAGATCCATGACATGCTAACACTGTTCAGAAACAAGAAAACAGTTCAGACAATACTTTCAGGGGATGTCCATCTGCTACAGAAATTGCTTACCAAGTAAGCACATGAATGAAAGTGATAGCAATTCATGTAAGGATGATTACAAGAAACACAGCTACAGACCCACTTTGGGGAGAAAGCCATATGCAAGTACGTGTACTTGGATGTGAAGGTGTCAGAATCTTCAGAGGCTGAGACTTCACTGGTCCTTTTGCACAGCCATTTCATTTATTTTAATTTCCCTTGGTTATAAATGCATCACTTGATATAGATATGAATCTGAAAAACTAAGTATTCTAGGGCTGCCCCTGATTTTCTTACTGATTCTTTTGACCTTTCCCAGGAGGGCAGCAGTGCCCAAGCTGTGGTTGAAACAGCTTCACTGCCCCCTGGATGTGACTAATTGTGAAAAGCTAATGACATATGTAGCTCTGTCCTGTTCATGAAGGTTTTTTTTAACATAAAATCTCCTGTTTATCTTCAGGTTAGTTACATGAGAACTGCCTTGCCAATTTCACCTACTTCACATAAAATATTTAATGCCCTAAAAATATTTGAAAAACTTGAGTCATTTTACGAACATTTGAAGTTAACAAAAAAAGTCAGGTCTCGTGTTTTCATGTAGAATTTCATGTCAAATAAAATTATTTTTTAAATGTTATCAGTCCCAATTAGTAATCAGGACTTTCCTATTGATAAACGTTTTATTATCTCTTCAGGCAAAATTACTGTTATGAAGTTAGATATAAGTAAACATGGTGTTAAAAACATCCAGATTTCTATTAGCACTTAATTCTATTCAAATGTAATTTACAAAGAGTTTAGTGGAGGTTCAAAGTGATTTTTAATTTTACGAAGATATTGACTGCTTAAGATCTTATATTAACCTGAATAGGTACCTACAGACTGCAGTTTCCCGTTTTTATTTGATGGAATGTAGATGAAAATGAACTGTTGTTATGAAATTAAGACACCTAAAAGGTACTTCTAAATTGCATAAGCTAGAAATTTATTTGCTAGATTTCATAACTTTCATCATTAAAGAATTCAAATAGTAAGAATGTTACTCTGATAAAATTTATTTTTTTATGTTCTCTTATTTAAGCCAGGATTTTCTCATTTATTTCATGGTTGTATGTTAAATGCTGTAAGTGTATCAGTATTCCTTAGACTACATACAGTACACTACATTTATTGTGCCATTCTTTTTCTCTTTCTTCAAGACTCAATGATGAGGCCCGGCGGCTGATTGCTGAATTGGGGAGTACATCTATTACTCATCTTGGTTTCAGAGACAACTGGGTCTTCTGTGGTGGAAAAGGCATTAAGACAAAAAGCCCTTTTGAACAGGTTAGTGTCTCAGACGTCATAATTAATGGGCAACAGCAATTGTGTGAAACCGTACAGTATGTATTCCTATCCCAGTTATTTGCAACTTAGATAAAGCAGACATTAAATATGTTTCCATAATATATTTCCATATTTTTCATAGGTTCCTGGCAATCAGTTATTTGAAATAACCATGACACTATTTTAATTTTAAAATTTAAAAAATAGTCAAATTCTACATGAAATTTTTTTTCCTGCATGACAATGCATTGGCCTATGATTACTTGTATCATAAGACCTTTAGGAAGTTGATTATTGAAAATTTTAGCTGAACTTTTGATATTAGAATCAATGAAGTACAGAAATACTTTAGAACGTAGTAGAATGTAAACTTATTTTTGACTTAACAAAGGATCTTTAAAGACCATCTGCAGTGTTTTGTTCTTTCAGCTCCTCTTTGAAGGTCTGCCACTATATGCCAGACCTTTTCTTATTTAATATCTTGAACACTAATTTATATGTTAATAGAAGTGTTACTGAAATGAGTATGCTTAATTATGTTATTGCAGATATGCAGTTTGCTAAAGTACTATACTGTGGTTGTGTTCCAACAGCACATAAAGAACAATAAGGACACAAATAAATATGAAGGATGGCCCGAAGTTGTAGAAATGGAAGGATGCATTCCCCAGAAGCAAGACTGACATGGAGAAAACTGAAGGGAGCACACTTTCACTGTCAGTGGGAAAGCCCTACCAGAAAAACGACATGTAAATATTTTAAGAGCATGCAGCCATCTCGGTGTGTGCATGTCCATTATCTCTTTTGATATCAGGATTATTTATTGCTAACGTAAATAGCTGTCTTTGTAAATAGTCATCATAATGAGCAAATCACTGAACCATTTTCAAGCACATCTGTCTAATGGTACAATGTTCAGACCTTGATGCTAATGGCATCTTTTAATTCTAAAAGCATACCAATGGATAACTGAACAGATAATGAAAAATATATTGATACATACTAGTCGCTGTGAAAATCCATCATGGAATGATATGGATTTTAGGGAGCAGACTTTGTTTTCTTTTGCGTATATATATGTATATTGCCTTCTGATGATAGTATCTTTTAAATTAAAAAGATATTGGGCATAGTTGTGTGTGTAATGTTACTTTACAGTCTGACTCCCCTGTTGTATTTTTTTTCTTAGTCTTTCTCTTCCCTTCCCAAGAAACCTATAAATAAAATAAGAAAACATATCAAATACATGAAAAGCACAACAGAATTCTTTGTTTAATGTACACAGTACAAAGTAAATATATAAATGTAGATGGCATTCAGGACTGTAGCTTGATGGATTTTGTGTTAGCAGTGTGAATAACTTGATTTTGCATAAGCTATTCAGAGTGAGGCAGGAGGGGGCAACTCCCCAGAGCTGAGGAATCTGGCCAAGTCCCTTCCCCAGCCTTAGTAGGTCATTCAGGACAGCATGTCAGTACAGTTAGAACCTTACTGGCCTAAGTTTTCCTTATTTAATTGTTCTCAGCCTTGACCAAGTGGTTTGGAAAGAGGCATGCTTTAATGTCACAATGATTTTAGATTGTAAACCCAGAGATTTTGTATTTACTTTCATCTGACTTCCTGATAGTAATTTTTGCCTGAAAAGATAACAACATATTTATTTATCAATAGAAAAGTCCTATTGAACTGATCAGGACTGATAACAGTTAAGAAATATTTGATACACAGTGACTTCATACCCAATTCTATCTAAAAATATAAGAAATCTAACTTTTTTGTTAACTTCAGATGTTCACAAAATGACTCAAGTTTCTTAAAATATTTTTAGGGCATTAAATATTATGTGTGATGCATCTAAAACTGGAACATAAAAAATGTAATGAACAAACTGCCACTCACAGTAAAAGGCAGCACTTCAATTTTGGATCTAAATTTTAGATGCCTTACATAAAGAAAAACTAAAAGCAGTGTTTTTTATTTTGCTATAAACTAAGTTGGAAGTTATTAAATATCAGTTTTGGGGTACTGTTTCTTCCCTCAAATTGAATGTAATTCATGAATCAGTGCACCTTACACATCTAAACAATTTTTGTAAACTTTTCAGATTTTTGGTGCTGATACGCTAAATCACTTTCAGCATGTGTATTTTAACATTTCAAATACTTCCCTTGATTCTGTAAATTAAAAGAATAGCTATTTTACAGTTTCAGGGATTGTGAAATAAGTGTTGCTTTTTCTTTTTTAAGTAATGAGAATAAATATTCTTGATTTTGCATTGTGAATTTCTTTTTTGTATTATCTGGCAAAGTAATATACCTACAGAACTTCACATTGAGGTTTGTCAAGCATTTATTGTCCTGCTTAACATGCAAAATTTAAGTCATTCCTATGGTTAGACACACTAATATCCTCAGGATATATCTTAACATGGATAGAATTTAAGTATCTAGATGACAACACTTCTGTTTCAAGATAAGGACTAACATGACAGCTTTATAGAGGTGTGTAAAATGCCAAAAGATTGGTTATTTAATTGCTTTCATGCAGTTTGCTATTATGTCAATTCTGTCTTGTATGGTTTATGTCAACATAACTTTGAAAGCAATAATTTTACTGTATTTTACTTTCAGATAGGTTTTAAAAATCAGCATTGTAAATGCAACAATGCTCATTTAATGTTCAGAATTTTCATTAAAATCAGAAGTTTGGCATTGACACTTTGGTCTTTTAAATGGTATTTAAGGACTCTTGGATGTGTATTTTTTATTTGTAATCATAGATGCAGTCGCAAGACAAGTTTATTATGATATGCCTGTTAAAATACAGCAATGACCATAGGAAAAAAGTGTTATCTGGGAAATTAAAGAAAAATTGAGCCAGAATCTTTATATTCCTGACTTTGATTAAAATTTATCATTGTTCTTTCTATGTTGTATTCATTTTGAAATGAATTATCTGATATTTTGTAAATTTTTTTTGCCAGATGAAGCTCAATGCCTTTAGCCTGAAATGCACTTTATACTTAGTTTATACATATTATAAATAAAGTGACCCCTCTAAAAAGATGATAGTTTCATTCAATTTGGTTGACATACCCCATTTTTAAATGAAAGAATGAGAAATGTGCTGTGTTCAGTTAGGAAAGCAGTTGAAAGTAGAAATGCATTTAGAATATTTTAAAAAATGAACATGAAAGGGGGAAAATTGCTTGTGTTGATCAGGAAAAAGATTTGCCACTCAGCCTCTTCAACTGGGCCTTCTAAAGCAGCAATAAGTGCATGTAAACGAGGAGTTGTAGGATAAAGTACCAGAATTTACTTTTTCTAACGCATTCCTCAGAAGCATTCCTTTGCTGTCTGTTCCCAGGGCGATTCTTCTGTTGCATACCTGGTTTTTGATGGTTACATGCCAGTAGCTAGTTAATTTCTGTTTCCCCCAAAGGTCCCTTGATTTTTTAAAATTTACTCATTTTAAATTGAAGAATAATTGCCACTGATGAAAGATATCAAAGGTGACACAAATAGATGGAGAAATATACCATGTTCATGGATCAGAAGAATCAATATAGTGAAAATGAGTATACTACCCAAAGCAATGTATAGATTCAATGCAATCCCTATCAAGCTACCAACAGTATTTTTCAGAGAACTAGAACAAATATTTTCACAATTTGTATGGAAATACAAAAAACCTCAAATTGCCAAAACAATCTTGAGAAAGAAGAATGGAACTGGAGGAATCAACCTGCCTGACTTCTGGCTATACTAGAAAGCAACAGTCATCAAGACAGTGTGGTACTGGCACAAAGACAGAAACATAGATCAGTGGAACAAAATAGAAAGCCCAGAGATAAATCCACACACCTATGGACACCTTATCTTTGACAAAGGAGGTAAGAATATACAATGGAGAAAAGATGATTTCTTTAACAAGTGGTGCTGGGAAAACCAGTCAACCACTTGTAAAAGAATGAAACTAGAACACTTGCTCACACCATACACGAATATAAACTCAAAGTGGATTAAAGATTTAAATGTAAGACCAGAAACTATAAAACTCCTAGAGGAAAACATAGGCAAAACACTCTCTGATGTAAATCATAGCAGGATCCTCTATGACCTGCCTCCCAGAATAATGGAAATAAAAAATAAATGGGACCTAATTAAACTTAAAATCTTATGCACAATGAAGGAAATTATAAGCAAGGTGAAAATACAGCCTTCAGAATGGGAGAAAATAATAGCAAATGAAGCAATTGACCAAGAATTAATCTCAAAAATATACAAGCAACTCCTGCAGTTCACTTCCAGAAAAATAAGCGACCCAATCAAAAAATGGATCAAAGAACTAAACAGACATTTCTCCAAAGAAGACATACAGATGGCTAACAAACACATGAAAAGATGATCAACATCACTCATTATCAGACAAATGCAAATCAAAACCACAATGAGGTACCATCTCACGCTGGTCAGAATGGCTGCTACCCAAAAGTCTACAAACAATAAATGCTGGAGAGGGTGCAGAGAAAAAGGAACCCTCTCACACTATTGGTGGGAATGCAAACTAGTACAGCCACTATGGAGAACAGTGTGGAGATTCCTTAAAAAACTGGAAATAGAACTGCCATATGGCCTAGCAATCCGACTGCTGGGCATACACACTGAGGAAACTAGATCTGAAAGAAACACGTGCACCCCAATGTTCATCGCAGCACTGTTTATAATAGCCAGGACATGGAAGCAACCTAGATGCCCATCAGCAGATGAATGGATAAGGAAGCTATGGTACATATACACAATGGAATATTACTCAGCCTTCAAAAAGAATGCATTTGAATCAGTTGTAATGAGGTGGATGAAACTGGAGCCTATTATTCAGAGTGAAGTAAGTCAAAAAGGAAAACAATACAGTATATTAATGCATATATATGGAATTTAGAAAGATGATAACGAGGACCCTATATGCAAGACAGCAAAAGAGACACAGATGTAAAGAACAGACTTTTGGACTCTGTGGGAGAAGGCGAGGGTGGGATGATTTGAAAGAATAGCATTGAAACGTGTATATTATCATATGTGAAATAGATCGCCAATCCAGGTTCAGTGCATGAGACAGGGTGCTCAGGGTTGGTGAACTGGGATGACCCTGAGGGATGGGATGGGAAGGGAGGTGGGAGGGAGGTTCAGGATGGGGAAAAATAATTTAAAAAAGAAAAAAAAGAATAATTGCTTTACAATATTGGTTTCTGCTATACATCATCATGAATCAGCTGTACATATGTCCCCTCCCTCTTGAACCTCCCTCCCATCTCCCATCTGATCCCACCCCTCTAGATTGTCATAGAGCATTCAGTTTGAAAGCTCCCTCAACTTAACCTGGCCTCAACCTCTCCTATTGTTCCTCTCCCCGCCCCCGTCTCCTTTCTTGAGGTTCCAGTAAAATCAAGGATTCTTGTTGTGGTTTAGTCACTAAGTCGTGTCTGACTCTTGTGACCCCGTGGACTGTAGCCCACCAGGCTCCTCTCTCCATGGGGTTTCCCATATAAGAATACTGGAGTGGGTCGACATTTCCTTCTTCAGTAGATCTTCCCAACCCAGGGATCGAACCCACATCTCCTGCATTGGCAGGCGGATTCTTTACCAAAGACTAGATGGAGCAAAAAGCAGGCAGACCTAGCCTA